TTCAAATAAGTAAAATAATTTTTGGTTATCAAAGTAAAATTCTAATAACGTTTATTGATATGGAAACTAATTTATATTAGTTTACTACACCGATTTAAATAGAAACAAATATGTAAATTAGTTTACTTATTAATTTGAAACCTATTAATAAATTAGTAAGCTTCAAATAAGTAAATAATTAAAAATGAAATTAAAAATTATAACCAACATAAAGTATATATATTTTCACAAGTAAATATATTTAGCTTAGTCAAATAAGTAAATTTTTTGGTTGTTTTTTTATTTTACACCTAAAATTCAAATATGCCTTCACTTTTGAAATAGATTCCTAATCCAAATTAGAAAATCTTTATAGGTTTACGAATTCCTACTTTTATTTTAATAGAATGTTTTAATTGGATTGATTTCAGTTCCAGATTAAATCAGATCAGATCAAACTTTAATAATTACTCCATCCGTCCCTTATAACTTTGCCAACTTTCTTTTTTTAGTTGTCCCAAAAACTTTGTCACTTTCCCTTTTAATCAATTAATTTGTGGTTCCTGTTATTTCTCTCTCCTCTGCACAAACCTCTACCACATAATTTTTACTTTATTATTCTACGTGTCGGTCAAACTTGGCAATCCTTTTAGAGACGGAGGGAGTATAACAATAAGTCACATAAAAACAGACATCTAATAGACCATATTAATTCACACCAAATCAAACCCGAAATTTTAATTCAATTAAAAATGTTCTTATTAATGAGTAAACTGTAAGATCTAACAATTAAGAAATATAGAATTTTTTATTATTATTGGGTTCATAACAATTATGTTTACTTGAGATGCTTATGTAGAAGACCATTTAACTTTTTTTTTCATATTTTTTTTCTTTGTTTCACAAATGGAATGTATTTCACATATATATTTCATGATTCAGAAGATTCCACCTATTTAACCAGAATACAATCAATTTCAGCAAAATAAGTTAATTCTATTTAATTTAGTATTATCAAACAGACTTCATATTATACTAAGTTTATTTTTCTTTTAAATCACATTATATGTGATCTGATAGAAATTAAATTTCAAATTAGCTAAATTACATACTGCCCGTGCATCGCACGGGCTTGAAAGCTAGTTTGTCACTATAAGAGAGAGTATAGTGTTTTAAATTCCACTATCTTCAATATTAGATCAAATGAGATTTAAATATTACACTAGACTTTTGACACTGCAGACTAAATTTAAATAAATTTAAATAACAAATTAATTCCAATTAAAACATCATATGCTCACTTATACTATACACTTCAATCTCAAGCTATCAGACTTCATGATGAGTTTGACGACTATCTATTCAGTGAACTTACAATGGGGACATGGGGTCCCCCTCACGCTCTCCGATAGCCTGGTTGATTTTATAAATAGATAATGTAATCGCCCCAAGTTTGGATATTGGGAAGCCTCTCCAGAGGATACTACTGAATTTGCAAAAGGATAACAATGTGTATTTCTAGGTAAACTTTTAATGCGAGAAATTGCTGAATGATAGTCCATCTCTTTAGGCTTGATTTAGCTTTCCAATTCACATGCGCGTATCAATGCTCGTTATTTAAGACTAAGAGTAACAATAACATCTAATATCGTGAAATTGTGAATGACATAAGTATCGGGATCTTGTTAACAAAATTCGTGATTGAAATATTAAAGGTGGTGAGTTCACGAAAATGAAGATCGAATACATATGATGGTAATGAACTGTTGGATTATATGGAAGTGTCGTAGGCAAAGAAGGAAGAGGGATCGAAGGGTTATATCACGGGATGACTTCCTTCATTGAGTCAAGCTATGTGCCACCTAAGTTACTCCTTAGATTAAATAATACTTCATGTCCCTGAAAATATTTCCAACTTTCCCTTTTCGTCCGTCCCCAAAAGAACTCCACTTTCCTTTTTGGGTGAAGAATTTGTGGTTCACAGCAATTCTTACACATTTCTCTCTCCTCTGTACAACTCTCCACCACACATTTCCCACTTTCTTAATCCATGTGTCATTTGTACTATGGAAGTACATTCAGGGACAGAGGGAGTATGAAAGAAGACACTCTTTCCTAGCAGCAAACCAGAGAAACAGTTGACTTGTCTGCGATTCCAAAAGTCAAAGAAAAGGCGCTTAGAAGTATAAAAAATGTGTTGTGTACACGGCATTTTACACGCTCGTGTACACGGCATATATACCTCCTCCTCCTCCGTTTTTACCTTTCCCCTTCCTCTTTTTACCCGTCTCCCACCACATCCCCGATTCCCCTTATTTCTTCTCCCCTAACCTAACGCACATAATCCTCTCCCTCTTCTTCCTCTCGCCTCTTTTTCCTCTCACCTCTCGGCCTTCAGATTTCTTCTCTTATCCGCAAACCTCTTTGCTTCATTTTCCCTCTCGGCCTTTCACTCTTGATTGATAGATAATCTTGACTGATAGATATCCTTCAATTACTACGACCGCACAAAGCTAACCCTAGACACCAGTTAGAGCAAATCCAATGCAAGGGTGTGGTCTCTTACACACCCTTATGTATGGGTCCCATTTTTTTATCTCATAATTTTTATGTATAGGACCCACATATTTCCTAATTTATTTTCATTTTTATTTTTTTATATCACTTTTAACCCACTTTTCATCAACTTTTCTTCCTCGAATCCCGTGTAAGGTCCATATATGGACCTTGTCATAGATCTTGGTCCGTTTTTATCTCTATGTCTCTCATCTTTTTCATTTTTCCCTACACACCACTTCATCCTAATATTCATTGACTCCTATTATAATTATAAAATTGGTAACTATGAAAAGTAATGTGATGGTTTTGAATATAATAATCGTGAATGAGAAGTTACTCCCTCCGTCCCTATTTTATCTTCAAACTTTCCTTTTTCATTCGTCCCAAAATTATCTTTTTTTTCTTCTTCTTTTGTAAAGAATTTGTAGTTCACAATAATTCTTACACATTCTCTTTCACCTGTACAACTCTCCACAAGACAAACGTCAATATCATAATTTGTGTGTCCCCACTCCCCTCAAATGAGGAGATAATATAGGAACGGTGGGAGTATTTGGTTCCATTTTTTTTGGCAATTCGATTTGGGCTTCGCAAAGCCACTACCCGTGTATATTTTGGGCTTCTTTCTATTCCTAATGCCGTCCAGAAAGCATTGGACTACTTACTTTAGACTCTAGTTGTATCTCCAAAAACGTCCTCCCGCATAGCAGTCGGATATTATAGATTTCTCTTTCCTTCCCGGTAACCTTTCCGGCGAAAAGCAAATCCGAGTTGAAAGGACTTCGTAATGCAGCCGGTTCTCATCCAGAATCCGCAGTTATGTCCTTCCCCTACTTTAAGATCAAGTTCAATCACAAATTCAAATAATGCCTCGCCGTCTATTTCTGCGCCCAGCCTTCTCCGGCATGTATTACTCCACCGACTTTTCACATCTCGCGGCGGATATAGAAGAGGCGGTCTTGTAAAATGCATGGCTAATCCCAGGAGAGTGAAAATGGTGTCTAATCAGATAAGGAGAGAGCTTTCAAGCATGTTACTAACGGATAAGGTTTTACAGTACGCGATTCTGCCCGAAGCCGCTCTCGGAGCTGATATGTATCTCTCTTCGCTTACTTCTATCAGCGACGTTGAAGTTTCAGCCGATTTACAGGTTAAATGTGTTCTGGGTTTGCTTTTCTAAGTCAAAACTTTTGGGTTCCTATGATGATCATTTTTGGAGCAAGGTATAAAAGGTCTCCTTTTACTTTTGTAGTATATGTTGCTGAGGCATTATTCTCCAATTTAATTGAAGAAGAAGATTAGATGAGACAATATTGTTTCATGTTTTGCTCAGAGGATGCACTTCAGTATGGAACAGTCTTGTGGACTTTACAGTTGATTAAATGAACAAAACGTCAAAACATTTGTTGCATTGGGTTTAAAATATCTTAAAGATGACATTTTTGGGACTCAAGATGAGGCTGGTTCATTTTGTGTAGGTTGTCAAAGTATATGTCTCTATTTTTGGGGATGAAAGAGGAAGGGAAGTGGCTATTGCAGGCTTGAAATCAAAAGAAAAATATGTACGAGGAGAGTTGGGAAAGCGCATAAAGTTGAGGCTTACTCCCGAAATCAGATTTATTGAAGATGAGTCTCTTGAGAGAGGAAGCAGGGTGAGTAACAGCACTTAAGTAGTTATTATAATATTAACTCCCTGTTGGAATGCAGAAGTTTATTAAATTGTAGCAGTCCATTCTCACCAACTAGGATATAATTGTAACCAAACCAATCTTAAGTTCTTAACATACTGAGTAAGTCCCACTCGGAAGCACGGTCTTTGTAGAATGAGTTGTACGCTGCTGGTAAAAATGAGGGCTTTGAAGATATTAGTAAAAATTGTGTGAACTAAATTTTACTTGAAATTAAAGAAAATATTAGTAAAGGGGATAAAGAGCATAAAGTATAAAACATTGTGAAAAAGATCATAAAGAAAAGTACCTAAACATGGAAGCAGCTAAATTATTATAGTAAGATGTAATTTCTGGACCGAAATTGTCAGATATGACTATTTACAAAACTATGGCTGTCATCAATATTCAATTCAAATAGTGCTTAAAAGCTTTAGATATGTCTTGGTAATTACTCGTAGTACTTAAATGTGCCTTTGTACATATTTTTTTGAAGTACATTACTGGAATCTGGACATGAAACAGACACATACACACACAGAGTGCTGTTGTAGTTTATTCTACGCATATAGATGACAAAACTGCTGCTACCGTCAGTGTGAGCTTTATTTGTGACATGGTCTTGGTTTGGTATTATTTGTGTAATTTAAAGGCCAAGTGATTATAAAATGGCATAATGCAGTTGCCCGTTTTGGCAGTATGAGAAACTATTACTTTTTCCATGTGTCGAACTCGCTCATTTCACCGGGATTTAAGCTTGTGCTTAGCAAGTTGGCAACAAATGACATTCTTTCAGGTTATTGCAATATTGGATAGAATAAAGAGCGAAAATGAGAAGAAGGCGGATGACTTTCCTGCTGATGACAGGCCCAACTCAGTTGAACAGAATGAGGATGTCGGTGAATGGGAAGGTGATGACAACGACGATGAACGAATTATTTATGTGGAATAGTTTCTGGTGAAGTTATAGTCTTTGAACTGAAAGCAATGCTGTGGAATAATACAGTTCAAATTTTCACAAGCAGCCCTGATTATAGTGAGATTTTATATTCTCATCTATTTTGTTGTATTCTTAACTAACAAATATGATTAGTGCGTAATAAGCATTATAATATCAGTGACAATATCTGCTATAAAAACTACTGAAAGAAAACAGCTGTGCTCCAGCAATCCTATTCAAGAGATGGTCAACAAAGCCCTCCACACATTTATTTCAAATCCTCTACTTCTGTCATCTACATGAGTTCGCCTGCACACATTAAGCAGGCACGAGTGAGTAGAGTTACACTGGCAACTATATCCATTATCCAATTTGCTGGAAATCCGCACCGAACTGTTCTAGTCTAAATAGGGGAAGTTGCCGTTACCGGGTAATGGGTAGGTTTTTTTATGGGTCATGGTGCAGTCATGGTTCTATATTTACCTCTCCTTTAACCATCCTTAATGCATCATTAACCACCAAATTCTTTTTTTCTGAATTATTTTAATGAATGAATTATTATAAGTGTGCACACAGAGATGTTTAAAAACTTTATTCCATCACTGTTGTGTTTAAATTTTAAAATAATAAAGTATAATATGATGAAAATGAGTTGTTATTTTGTAAAAAACGGTAAAGCTGGCAATGTAGAGATAGGAGAGGTTTTTACATGGCTCAAAATTTGCAGTGCATTTGTCAGGAAGCTGCATTGCCATGTTCCGATCAACACCGGAGATTGGTGGGCCATTCACGAGCACGCACAAGCAAGGCTGACCAAGCGCCTTGATAGCTGCGCAGCAAGCCTCGCCTGGTGGTACGGGACTATAAGGAGCAACTGCAGCCCTGCACGGTATGAGCTGAACAAGCGCTGAGAAGAATGTCGCCCCACAAGAATTACCTTTGCCTTCTTGCACCAAATTGGCCGTGATCACTACCACCATAACCAACACTATCACCCCTGAAAGCTTCATTGCTTGTTTAGGACCCTAACTACGGCTAAAATGCCTTTCAAGTCTTCGGGTGGAGTATCACAATTGATGTCTGATCATTTAATAATTAATATATATAGCTGGAGATTGGAGAGACCGGGTGCCCTTCCATGCTTTTGTCCTAACGCCGCCTGATAGTAACATATAACTTACATGATTATGAGTAGGTTACAGATATTAAACTGCATGACCTCCCATCATGATACAATTATGAATATGCGGAGCCTTGCTCTCCCGTTCCTTTTTATTCTTCCCTTTCAACCTTGACAAGGTTTTTAACAAAGAAAAAAGTACGAAATTGAAACTTTTTTTGAAAGGAAAGTACGCAATTGAACTTGAGGAAATCGACACAATAATGATCACAATTGTGTTTAAGGAAATGACAAATGAATCAGGACACATGAAGACAAAAAGATTCACCATAAGAAGGGGGTAGTGGAGTTTATATCGTTCTAGGCTAAAGGGTCAAATGGGCCCTTGAACTGACTTAGAAAAGTTCAATTAGCCCCTTATATATGAGATTCTGCCCGGCCGTCGCCAATTGGGGCGGTTCCCGGTGGAATTTTTTGATGAAATTTTTTTAGCATCTTCTTCATTAAGTCAAGTTTACTCATACCAAAGTTCAGCTAAAAATTCAACCAGGAAGACAGTTAAATGATTTTTGGCTTAAGGGTAAAATATGCCTTTGAACTGACTTAAAATGTTCAATTAGCCCCTTATATAGGAGGTTCTGCCCGGCCGTCGCTAATTGGGGCGGTTCCCGGTTGAATATCTTCTTATACCTAAAAACATTAAAAATGAGAGACAAATATACTGCTCAACTATTAGTCCCTTTATCTTATGCCAAAAAACACTACATATGAGAGATGAAAATCGCTCCGTCAATTATTAGTATGTTTATCTTATAGTTAAAGCATTACATATGTAAGAGAAAATGTCCACACTCAATTATTCTTATACATAAAAGCATTACGTATGAGAGAGAAAATTCTCCCGTTAATTATCACACATTTATCTTCTTATACCTAAAAACACTATGAGACAAAAAAATTCCCGCTCAATTATTAGTCTGCTTATCTTATGCTTAAAAGCACTACATATGAGATGGAAATTCCTCCCTCAATTATTAGTCCGTTTATCTTCTTATACCTAAGAACGCTACATATGAAAGATAAAATCATCCTGTTTAATTTCTAGTACCCTTATCTTATGTTTATCTTATGCATAAAGGCAATACATATGAGAGACGAAATTTGCCTGATCAATTATTTTCTTCTTATACCTAAAACCATTATCTTATCATCATCATCATCATATACTTAAAAGCATTACGTATGAGAGAGGAAATTATCCCGCTCAGTTGTCAGCACATTTATCTTCTTATACCTAAAATCACTATGTATAAAAAAGAAAATTCTTCCGCTTAATTACTAACTCACTTATCTTATCTTCTTGTACTTAAAAAACACTACATATGAAATAGGAAATTTTCCCACCCAATTATTAGTCCGTTTATTATCTTCTTATACCTAAAAGCATTACATATGAGAGAGAAAAATATAATGCTCAACTAACCACTTATCTTATGCCAAAAAGCACTACATATGAGAAATGAAATTTGCCCCGTCAATTATTAGGGCATCCTCATCCATAAGATTATTTAGAGATTATTTTGATGATGTGCGTGATATTTTTTGAGATTATGATTGAGATGTTATGATTATTTGAAGACATTATTTGATGAAAAAATCTGGGATCAAATTTTAAATTTAGATTATTTAAAATTATTTCCAATTTTCTAGGCATACTCATAATTGTAAAACCATATACCAACCAACTACTGCTTCTACTTATATTTCTTTGGGGAATATTGCATGTAATTTGTTTTCTTGAAATTGAGTGTATGTCTTATGAACAATATTGGTAAATTAAGATCATGGTTGAGGAGAAAGTAGTTGATTTGAACATTATTTGAGATTTTCTTATGTGGAAGTGACATGATAATAATAATAATAAGCCATAAAAAACCGTAATACTGAGGAGTGTCAATGTGGATGCTCTTAGTATGTTTATCTTATAGCTAAAGCATTACACGTGAAGAGAAAATGTCCACGCTCATTTGTTTTTATTCTTAAACTAAAAAACATTATGTATGAGAGAGAAAATTTTCCCGCTTAATTATCACACATTTATCTTCTTATACCTAAAAACACTACGTATGAGACAGAAAATTTTCTCTTTCAATTATTAGTCCGCTTATCTTATGCTTAAATGCACTACATATGAGATGAGAAATTTCTCACTCAAATTTTAGCCCGCTAATCTTCTTATACCTAAGAGCACTACATATGAGAGATAAAATCATCTTGTTCAATTTCTAGTCCCCTTATCTTATGTTTATCTAATGCGAAGTATTGTTTAACAATATCAACATTTTTCAACAAAATTGTATCAAAAGTATAACTTTTTATCATCTTTCATATGAGACCAACATTTCATACACACACAAAGACAATGTAACACTTGAAAGTATGTCTATTTTTTAGGTGATACTATCATTGTTACAAAAAGTATATCACAATTTACAAACAATTTTTTTTGTAAAGTACTAAATAAGTTTTTTATTTTTCGTGAGAGATATTAAAAATTACTCCAATTTTTAATATCTTTTGATATTTTTTGACAATTAGGTACAAATAAAAAAGATGTCGCACTTTAATAAAATACGGCATTTATTTTGATTGAGATAAATTAAATTATGTTACACTTTCATTAATACAAGGTGACTCTTTGTTAGAACATGAGTCGCGATCATGAGCTTATCCAATTTGAAAAAAATACCTTTCTATTTTACAACATCGATAATAAGGAAGTAATTCAGAATTAAGACCAAAATCATTATACTGGATAAAAATGTGAGTTATTGAATTTCAAGAATTGTAATTATGTTTTAATTTATATCAAACTGATTATAAGAAAAAACCTCTCAAAATAAATATTTGTGGACAAAAATGTAACTAAATTGGATCTTGAATATCAAAATATATCAAAGAATAAAAGAAATACCAAGAGCTAATCCTTTTCGAAAAGCAAATTTTGATATGGGTATTAAATCATTTTAGTGTTATCAATTTAATGATAAAAAGTTTCTTCACACATTCGAATATACGTTTCAGTGTACACCATGACATGATTTTAAAAGGTTGACTTTGGATTTTATAACATTTGTAAAAATTAATGGAGATGATGATAAAAAGTATATTTTTAAACTATCATAATATTTTTACTAATTTAATGGACCATTTGACATTAAAAAATCATGGGCTTGTTTTATATTGACTTTACCAACATATATTGAACATATTCTTCATTTAGAATGTTATTTAGAGTTTGTTTGTGTAACATAGAAATTGCCCGAATCTATTATAATTGACGACGTTCTGGTTGAATTGATTGAATTTGTTGAGATATGGAGAAACAATATTTTAAAATATAATTTATTAATAAAATAAGTAAATATATATATCAAGAAGTAGGTACAATAGTCTTCTACAATAACTTCAGTCAATTCAACCAGAAAAGTGGCTATAATTTTAAATATAATTAGAGTTACTAAAAATTAATAACTCATATGTTAGGAATTGTTTATTTATTTAATACGAAAAATTTGTTTCGAGGTTTGAAAATAGGAAGATTATTTAATAAACTGTCAGATTTTATTTTTAATTTTCATATATACAATATTGATGTCATATGAAAGATCCTAAAAAGTTGTGAACTTTGATGTATTTTTTATGAAAATTAGAGAAAAATTGAAAAGGTTACCACAATTTAAAGAAAATGGTATTTTTTTATACAATGGGACCCATTAATGAATGCCAAGTGTTAATGCATCGTTCATTTGTTTTTGGTGATCCGTATTAGTCCTTTCATTTGCCACGTGTCAGGTGTATATTAAAGGAGAGGATTGCGGAGAGAAAGACACAAAGAATTTTTAGAGGGTATAATTGTCTTTTAATGAGTTATTTGTTTTCTTATATATAAATAGAATAGATAGATAAATAGACTATCTCGATGCAATGAACAACTTTTGTGTCTCTATTAGTACACACTCTGACTTGTAATGAGATGCAATCAACTTGAACATTGGTATAAATGAGTCGCGTATACTCGACAAAAAAACTGAAGTTCTAAAATGTCAGGTCTCACAAAAGTTCAAAGCTTCAATTTTTATAATCTCATAGTTAAACTTTGAAGTCAAATTTCTCACCTCATTTACTCACCTAGTCACCTAATATCAATATTGAGCTTATAATATAAAATAGTATTAGACTGACTAGTGACTCTTTTGCATAGAAAATTCAATTCAACCTTTTCTGGGTCCAAATGACCAAGGACACGTACCCCTACTCAAAGCATAGACCTAAAAATACCTTTAAATGAACTGAACTTTTGACAATTGCATTGAAGTTTTGAATGAAAACAAAGACACAATCACACAATATATACATTTCTTTTCACTAAAACATTATACCTGTTATTGTGAAAATGATATTTTTGTAGTTCTTTGGGCTAATTACCTATTTAAGAACTGTGTATATGTTTTACTCCTATTTAGGATAAATACTCTAGTTCTTTAAGAGAGCCACTTAAGGGTTTCCAGCAATTTAGCTACTCGAACTTAAAATTCCTGTTTATTCAGTTCCTTAAAACAATCCACGTATAATTTAACTCTAAAAGTATGACATCATTTATGTTTTCGTTCTTAAATGATCTTGGTGAACGACAAACAATGTTTTCCCACAAAATAGTGTGTTGTTTTCCTTAGAACAATCCACATATAATTTAACTCTAAAAGTATGACATCATTTATGTTTTCGTTCTTAAATATTGTGTTGTTAAACAAACAATGTTTAACAAGAGAAACATGATATAGAAAATAAGCCCCAACAACTTCACAAAATATAACTACTGCAAATAATTTACTACCTACTACCTTATTATGAAGAGCATTAATCCCCCAGCAGAGAGGCCTAT